CTTTCAAACTCCAGCAAACCCTCAACTCTTGTGTAACCTTTGTCTTCCTGTTTTCCACATATGTTTTCTTATATATATTCCTTTTTTTTTAAATTTATGTCAGAGTATGGGTAGAAGAAGGGAAAAACCAAGAGGATGAGGCTATAATGAAAACAGGGAAGGATGCCTGGGAGTCTGAGGGTAGAGACACAGGCCGGCAGAGAATTGTTAATCATGATGAACCAGTTAGATGTGACAGCAGACGGGCAGAGCAGGAAGTTTTCAGGCGGAGAATAAACGTACGACGATGTGTAGACTTTACTTTTGTAATCCTAATGTGGAATCACGAATACCTTAACAAGAATATAATGAAGAACCAGAGCTTCACTAGACTCTTCTCCTTGCTGTTCCATCGCAGGATCCTAATCACAGGCAGTTTCCTCTAAAATACAATCATGATCCGCATATGATTGTGCATCTTATATATTTTTTACTGCTTACTCAGAATGTTACATTTGTCCAGCCTCCACCAACCCTTCAAGTACTAATCTTAAATCTCCAAAAAAAGCCACCCCGTAGCCCACATCCAGTTCATCCAACCCCTTACGTGATGTCTTCTTTATGCTGACAAATGCCTGACAGGAGGCGGGAGGGAGGGTATGGCCTGGAGTGGAACATTGCGGAAATTTGCATAAAAATGAAAAATAAAGAGCTCCAGTCCCCAGATTTCCCTTTAGCTACCCATGGCAGCTTTTGTGTCGCATGTGTGTCAAAGTGTTGGGCCTTAAGTCGCTGAATGAGAATCACAAATGACAACTGTGATCGCAGCTGGAGGTCCGACTGGAAAAATGTTGCAGGGAAAATCTACTGATTACAATTTGTTGGATAAATACCTATATTATTTGTTTTCCTTATATTGAAAAAACTGAAAATGATATTTATTTGAAAGTACTTAAAAATAGCGTAGAACTGTAGGGAAAATCAATTTTTTTTTTGCTTACTTTTAACACGAACTGAAATCAAAACCAAATAGATGCTTTCCTAATAAGTATATGATAAATAATACTTTGAGTAACTTGAGCTCTTTGAACAGTGATCTGTTTTGTTGCCATGCCTTGTCTTGATTTCCGGCAAATCTCTGTCTAAAGTCAACCAGATGGTTTTGCCACAATTTATGCCCAAGGCGGATGTATGTAATTTCTTGATGGGTTTGGGTCACCCGTGGCGGCCGGCAGGTTGGATTGACGTCGACTCTCGGCAGCTATTAAGTTATGCAGCGGCCAAAGAAGTATGCAACAGATCCAAAGCGTTTTGCTTGGCACAAGACTCTCCTTAGGGGGAAAAATGAAGACTGACGCATAACTTAAACGGATTCCACTTGCCCGAGTGCATGAACCCGGGGCCTGCATAATTTAGTGATTGTAACTCCTCCTTTACCAAACCATACCTCTGGTTTTCCCCACACCATCCTGGTATCCTGCCATCCTGCGCAGGACTATGCTAATGCTAATGCCAAAGCTAAGCACATGCTGCTGGATGGAGGAGCGTGCAAAAAGTTTGCCCAAGAACTTTGCTTCCGTTTTGCATTTGATTAACTGCCATCTGAAAAAAGAGAAGAACTGGGCGAGAACCCAATTTTTACTGTAATTTCTTTGAGGAATATAGTATATATCTATATATATATATATATAGAATGAGAGCTTTAGAATAATCAAATATTAAGATAGGAAAAGATTTTCAATCACTTTTGGCCTGATTATGCATGGCACATAGATACAGGGAAGTAATAACCATTGCAGAATTGCATTTACTTAACAATACTTTCATCTTGTAGTCTCTGTATTGATATTTCTTTTCTTTACTTTTATATATCTTATATATATTTTTAAATATCCTTATTATCCCCCTACTACTTTGTAGAAAATGCAACCCTTGCACATGCCCAGCTATTATTAATTTATAATCTAAAGCCCAGATACTTGTGACTATCAGCGAGTATGTAATCGGTCTGTAAAGCCAATTATAGCAACTATCAGCGATTGAATTACCTGGCTCATGGCTTAGGCCATTATTATTATCATGAAATCAGACCCTTAATGAATGCAGCGCAAAAAACAAAGCAAGAAAGAAAAGCTAACTTCGGCACGCCGAAGTTTGTAAACCCTTGCAGATTGAAATTCGATCATTAGGAATTTATACAATATAAATTATATATATTTATATTAAAAAACATTAAATTAATGCATGCTTTCATTTCTTTCACCAATACATTTTATATTTTTAACGATAATTTTGTATGGCAGCTATAAGATATAGTAGTCTGATTTTACAAAAAATTATAGATTAATATACAATGGCTATATATTAAATTTGATAAAAATCTGTCGAAAACTGGAAACGTTATACTTTTTCTTAAATATTTCCGATTGATCCTATGTCAGCTATATATATGTATATATATAGTTCACCGATTCGCCATGCTCCAAATTATACTAGTAAAATTATATTGAAGAATAACTCTATAGTTTCATTCAAATAGCTTGGTCTTAAATTTGTGCCAAAACACATCTCGCACATGCATATGATTCCCAACTGGTTCAAACATCCCCGGAACGAAGTGACTTCTGCTGGCCAGGTCTCAGACAAGTGTTGTGTTACAAAAGTTGCAAGTCATTGTTTATTAGTGTTCAAAGTTAATTACTGATTATACAAACTTCCTGATCAAAGTTACTTACTGATTATAATTACTTCCTGGTTATAGATACTTACTCCCCAAATTTAATTACTGAACATAGTTGCTTACTGATCATAGTTACGTACTGGTCACAGATATTTGCTGTTTAGAGTTACTTACTGGTCAAAGTTACTTGCTAATCATACTTCCATAAATCGTCCGATTTTTCCTATGTCAGCTATATATATATATATATAGTCCACCGATCCGCCATGCTCCGACTTATATACTTGTAAAATTATATAGAACAATAACTCAATAGTTTCATTCAAATTTCTTAAATTTGTTCCAAAACAAATCTCGCACATCTGTGCATATGATTCCCAACTGGTTCAAACATCCCCGGAACGAAGTGTCTTCTACTGGCCAGGTCTTAGAAATGTGTTGTGTTACAAAAGTTGCAAGTCATTGTTTATTAGTGTTCAAAGTTAGTAACTGATCATACATACTTTCTGGTTATAGATACTTATTGATCATAGATACTTGCTGTTCAGAGTTACTTACTGCTCATAGTTACTTAGTGTTCATAGTTAATTTCTGATCATAGTTAATAATTGGTCAAAGTTACTTACTGTTCAGAGTTACTTAGTGTTCAGAGTTGCTTCCTGCTCATAGTTAATTACTGATCATAGTTGATTACGGAATATAATTACTTCCATCTAAACATATTAAACAAATTTAATCATCAAATGTTTGCCTTTAGCATTAACTTTAATAGGTTAATGTAAGCATTTTCGAAATGAAGTCGAAGTATATCACTCATACGCAATGTTGCCTTGGCCGATTATAATACCTTGGATTAATAAATTTGTTTATTTGTGAATATTAGAAACTAAAATCATCGAATAGTTTTGCTTATTATGCTCCTATATTTAAGTAAACATTTCCATAGCCAAATTGCAGAGAGGCATAGCATATCACTCATACGCCATGTTGCCTTTTGCAGGTTACAAAATCCTAAATGAATAATATCTGTAAATATCAGATAAGTTAATTAGTCTTGCTTTTGTGAATATTGAATAACCCACAAATGGATGCCTTTTGTAATTAGGAAAATTGGAATTGGATCCTGGCCAGAAGAAGGCTTTCCTGGCTGTCAGCTAGCTCGTTCCCTATCGGGGGCCGATAACTTCAATTAACCATTTACTAAAATCACAGCTGCTGCCGAGTGCAGTGCTGACGTTCTGGGAATTGGCTTTCTGTTTGTTTGCCAGCTCCCACATCCAATCCAATCCAATCCACACCAGCGCCAGCACTCCCCGCTGCTCCCCGGGGCCACATGGTGCTCCGTACTCCCAGCTCGGTGCATGGTCGCTTTTGGGGCAGCGCCCGTGCTCTCGACCCAAATCCAGAGTTGGCACACACAACTTTCGGGGCAAGGACGAACCTAGCGAATGGAGAGTGGAGAGTGGAGAGAGAGAGTGTGTGTGTGTGGGCTTGTCTGTTTTTCGAGCCAAACGCTGGCCCAGCATTTTGGTGTATGCAAATTTAATTAAATTTTTTGTGCACGCTCACACATACACACTTTCTTTCTTTCTCACACTGATAGTGAGGGAATAGTGCGCCAATGGGCTGGCATGGAAGAAAAAGGCGCCGACCTACTTGTATTCCCTGGATAAGGGATAGCACTGTCATCCTTGCCCATCCTGGCCGGGCTTCAACGTTATTCGCACAAAATTAATTGCAGGAAAGTGTGGGTGGGGATGTGGGCATTGGGCGTGTTAGAGGTTACGTTTACGCCCACTTGTTGGCCAAGGCCTTGGGATATTGTCTTGAAGCAGCCAACAACCTGCAATTATCCAGGAGAACAGGAAGCAGGGCCCACAGTTGCACCTAGGCACACCATTGTATTTGCAAAACACACAATTGTAATCATAATTATAGGTCTTTAATGTGGTTTATAGAATTCTGCTACTATAGTCCTATAGTCCATTCTAAACAGCACCTTCTTCACAAACTATGCCTCAAAGCCTATTTAAAAGTATTGTATACCTTATATCCCAACTATCCTCACATATCTATCTCTTAGAACACCATCATCTGTGACATTGTCCCTACATATCTCATAGCTCCGCCGATAGTTCGTGCTCGTCTTGTCTAACCCGTCTGCGTCTCAGGTCCTTCGCCTCCTCTGCTAAAAGTCGAAGCCTAGGCTAAGCTCTAGTTAATTCTGTGTGTGTATGCCACGATATTCTATATATTTGCCCCCCCCCCCACCATGTGCATAAATTAAGACTATAATATAGTATATAATTTGAAATATCAACTAACCTAACGATCCTTGCAGTGCGCAGCTGCCGTACGGGCAAACAGGTGCAGATGACCGAGGCTGAGGTGCGCGGTCTGTGCCTCAAGTCACGCGAGATCTTCTTGCAACAACCGATCCTGCTGGAACTGGAGGCACCGCTAATCATCTGCGGCGACATCCATGGCCAGTACACAGACCTGTTGCGGCTGTTCGAATATGGCGGCTTCCCGCCGGCCGCCAACTATTTGTTCCTCGGTGACTATGTTGACCGGGGCAAGCAGTCGCTGGAGACCATCTGCCTGCTTTTGGCCTACAAGATCAAGTATCCGGAGAACTTTTTCTTGTTGCGCGGCAACCATGAATGCGCCAGTATTAATAGGATTTACGGTGAGTGTGTGAGAGTCGGTGGATTAAATAAATATAACAAATTTATTAAATGAAATATGTTTATTTCTAGGCTTCTACGACGAGTGCAAGCGTCGCTATAACGTAAAGCTGTGGAAGACCTTCACAGATTGCTTCAACTGTCTGCCAGTGGCTGCGATCATTGACGAGAAGATCTTCTGCTGCCACGGCGGCCTCAGTCCCGATCTGCAGGGAATGGAGCAGATTCGCCGCCTGATGCGGCCCACAGATGTGCCCGATACTGGCTTGCTGTGTGACCTACTGTGGAGTGATCCGGATAAGGATGTCCAGGGCTGGGGCGAGAACGATCGCGGTGTAAGCTTCACATTCGGTGTGGATGTGGTTTCCAAGTTCTTGAACCGTCACGAGCTGGACTTGATCTGCCGTGCACATCAGGTGAGAGTGTCTTCTTAGGAAGATTTATGGGAATGAAGCTAATTGTATCTCCTTTCTTTTATGCAGGTTGTGGAGGATGGCTATGAGTTCTTTGCACGTCGCCAGCTGGTCACATTGTTCTCGGCGCCCAATTACTGCGGAGAGTTCGACAATGCCGGCGGCATGATGACCGTGGACGACACGCTCATGTGCTCATTCCAGGTAAGACTCCCAATTATTAGTTTTAGTTCCATATGTATATGTATTCTCTTATGCCTGAAGATCCTTAAACCATCCGAGAAGAAGGCCAAGTATCTGTATAGTGGAATGAATTCGTCGCGGCCCACGACTCCGCAGCGAAGCGCCCCAATGCTGGCGACCAACAAGAAGAAATAATATATCCATCCGCTTCCATTTCCTTAAAGGTTCAACAAACAAAACAAAAACAAAAACAAAAAAAAAAAGAAAACAAACAACAAAAAAAGAAAACAGAAATAAACTTTTATATAGGTACACACATATAAATATATATATATGGAAACATATATAGAAGGAGCGACAGTAGAGAGAGATAGATCGAGGGCAAAGCAAAATTCAATGTGTGTTAAGCAGGCAAAATTCATATTAACATTTATGTGTATACATATTACCTATGGACAGGCATCTCCACAGTTTCGGATGTAGTATCTGTATCTAATTTAATAAACTTGCCTGTAGTCGTGGATGGCTCCCCTGTTACCACTTTTCACTATCAGCTCTCCCATCGCATCGCATCGCATAGCCCAGGCGCCCCCAAAGTTGCAGATAAATAAATCAATTAAAAGTACAGCGATGTTAAGCAATGAATTTATATATATAGGCATATTAATGTAAACTATATACGATATACTTATATATATATATATATATAAATAACTACCAGAGGGAAACGAAAGCAAACCCCAAAGGAAATACAAACAAAAAAAAGAAAGATAGAAAGAAAAAGTTAAGTAAAGGAGAAGCTGAAGCGGCATCGACTAGCGCCGAGCTTAAAAGATTCGCAACAGAGTTTATCGGTTTTTTTGTTCTACTCTTATCGACTAAATGCGCATTACAAATTTGTCCAACAAAAATGTTAAGAAATCGATAAACGATGATCGAAAGCAACCTATGTCTTAGGCTTAAAAAACGGTTCAACTCTGTGTGTGTGTGTATTTTATTTATTATTTATCTAGAAATCTAAATATATGTATGTTCTTTTTGTCGATTGTTTAATTAATTTATTGCCTATCTTAATAGTAATATAAAGCGAAACCAATTAATCCGTAACACATAATTCTATATATATAAATATAATTTTTTTTGTCGTTGTACTAAGTTTAAGTGGCGAAAACTGTTAACTGGTTAAAAGGGCATTTAACAATTGAGGCTTACTTTTCAATGCCTGAACTTTTACCTATTTACCTATTGTTAGCAAAAGGCTAAAACCCTATTCTACCTATCCAACTTAACTATAACTTGCCTCACACACAAAACCAGAACGAAAAGAAACATACAAAAAAAAAAAACAAACAAACAAGAAGAGAAAAAACAAAATGAACTAAATTTAACGAATTTTTGAAAACATTACTTCGAGTACTTGAAACACCAATTTTTTGTGCATCTTTAATTTATATACATATAATTAAAAAACGCAATTCGTTAGTAGAGAATGTAGAGGGAAGCCAGATGAGCGGAGAGGCGAGTACATATATATTTCAAATATATAGGTATATATATACGGAAGGATAGAAAGAATAAACTAATTTTTTCATCGTCGTAACTTATTAGATTGTAGTGCCTTTTTTGCCTCCAAAAAAAAAAAAAAACAAAACAAAAACAAACAAAAACGATTACGAAGTGTAAACTAACAAATGGTTTATATATACAGATCATAAATATATATATATATATATACATATACAGTATACATTTTATATGTGACTAGGCAGAGCGGCGACATGCAGAGGGTCAAGTAGCTTGTGGCCCGCATCCCTCCCACTCACTGGAATGGGATGCGGGCGGCAAACCAGTCAATTAAATGCATTATAAACAAAACAAAAACATAAACAAAAATCCAACAAACAGAAGAATCAAACAAACAACAGACAAAACAAACAAACAGAAACAGTGAAGCGACTTTGCATTTCTCTCTCATTTGAGCTTGGTTGATTTCTCCCTCTCCAATTTGTTGTCCCTTACCCCCCCCCCCCAATTCACCAGTCGTAGCGAAAGGACACTCAAGGGATCCATTTCCTGCGTGTGTGTGCCTGTCTCAGTGTGTGTGTGTGTGCGCGTGTGTGAGCTGCTTCCGCATCCGCATCCAAGTATACATACAAGTAACAGTAAATTAATAAATATAATTAACAGAAAAATACAAAAAGTACTAGTGGTGGGAAAACCAGGCATAACAGAGAAAGAGAGAGAGAGAAAGCGTGAAGATAGCAGAAAAAAGGATAACAAATAAATATATTTATTATTAAAAATCAAATAAAAATTAATTAAAACTTTATGTTCACAAAGTGTTGAGTTTATTCTTATAAATAATGGGGGTATTATTCATTCCTAATTAACCTTAAACAAGAAAGGGAGCTAACTTTTTATCGAAATTAATTGATTTTTGTCATATAAAAAATATTACGTATACGTAATTTTTTGGTAGTGAAATCAAAGTTTAAAATTGTCATAACTAAGCCAAAAATGCATTAATTTCAATTCGGAAAGCAATTCTGTGCTAGTGTTTATCTGGATAATAAATTTGCATACTAAATTTAAAATGTAAAAAAATTCAATTTTTTTTTCAATTTTTAAAAATTTTAACGATGCAACCCCTTATAATATATTGAAAAAATTAAAAAAAATTTTTTTTAGTTGACATACAATATGGATTCTACAGTTGATGCTGATCAAGAATACATATGATTTATAGGGTCGGAAACGACTCCTTCACTGCGTTTTAAGCTTTTGACTAAAATTAGAATTCTCTACTGGGGTACTGCATTTTGGAAGAAAAAAATCTAGGAAACTCGAAATGAATAACGAAAACTACTAAAATCTACAGCAATGAACCGCTAAACAAATGAACAACTGAGTAAAGTGAAGCCAATAAACACTGAGAAATGAACAGTGAAGTAAAATGAACCAAGGAGCACAGAGAGCGAGTGAAAATGGCAATAGCAGTGAACTTGTCATTGATTACCGTTTTGTGGGTGCCAACAGTTGTTTTCAAAGCTTTCGTGGGTGGTGTCGTTTTCCTGGTGCTTTGCCCATTCAGCTAATTCCCCTATTTTATTTATTTTTTTTATGGCCGGCAGTTTGTAATCTTATCGGAAATCAAACATTAGCGGCCGATGAGTCGGATCGCAAATTGTAATTGAGTTTTGAGTAATGTTATATTTTCGATATTATATTGTTTTCATTGGTCAAAGGGTCTGCAACGCGTGAATCGGAGATATTTTTTGAAAAGTGTTATTGATTTATGTGTAAAAAATATTGAAAAATTTGTCACTGCAAATTGCAATACTTATAAATTTTAAATTAATCAAAACACTAACTGGCCTGGAAGCCTAAACCTATCCCACTAAAGTAAATAGAATCTATATATGCAGAACGCTTCTTATATTTCTTTTGTGTGATGAAATTGCTTTACAACTATAAAAGTGTTTCTAATTGGATATTACGATAAACTGTTAGATAACGCGAGGAATGTTGTACTTATACGCCAGTAAAAGCCATCTGTGACTAAAAAATCGTGACTAATTACATATACATATATGCATACCTATATTTTTTTTGTATTAAAAATAACTTTTAATCTTTAAGTAACGTATGCTTTAAGCGAGAGTAATTTGCTGATATTTATTTATGGAATTCATCACTTAAATTCTTGGGAAATCTTGGGCTATTTATGATTTATATTAAGATAACCCTTTTTCCCATTTCACCAGTTTTTCCCTGCCTGATCCCGTCGAGAATCTAGAGCCATAAATGTCTCTAAAACAGCGGCAGAGGGATGTGGAGGGTGATGTACCACCGGACAGCATTTCCATGGAGGAGATGCCCCTCAATCGGACAAATGGAGGTGGCATCAACGGCATAGGAGAGCAGGCGGAGGACCGACGCCGAATGCGCCTGATCTTCGACAAATACGACTCCGATGGCGATGGCCTGATCAGTACGCCGGAGCTAAAAGCACTAATTGCAAGCGCCAACTGCCGGGATATGCCTCCTCACATGGCCGAGCAGATCATGAGGCGCAGTGACGAGGATCATGATGGCAGCCTGGATTTTGAGGAGTTCTATGCAATGTCCCTGCGCAATCGGTGGATTATGCGACGGGTGGTGGCTCGCTATTGCCGCTATGTGGTGGCACCACCAAAACCCAAGACTCCGGATGAAGTGGATGGGGAATACGAGAGACAGATGTCACTCTGTCCGCCACCGCTTACCATGATCATCTTCTCAATTGTCGAAATCATTGCCTTCCTGGTGGACGTGATACACTTTCAAGATGACCCCGAGTATGAAGGTAATATTGGTGAAAGTATTAATGGACCGGCAGCTACGTTGTGCATCTACAATCCGTACAAGCGTTACGAGGCCTGGCGTTTCGCCAGCTATATGTTTGTCCATGTGGGACTACGCCATCTGGTGATGAATCTGATTATTCAAATCTTTCTGGGCGTTGCCCTGGAGCTGGTGCATTCGTGGTGGCGTGTGTCTTTGGTCTATCTGGCCGGTGTCCTTGCCGGGTCTATGGGCACCTCCCTGAGCAGTCCGCGCACCTTTCTGGCAGGTGCCTCGGGAGGAGTGTATGCGTTGATTACCGCTCATGTAGCCACCATAATAATGAACTACTCGGAAATGGAGTATGCCATAGTTCAGCTGTTTATCTTCCTTGTTGTGATCTTTGCGGATCTGGGCGGTTCGATATATCATCATCTGACGGATGAGTATGATCGGATTGGGTATGTGGCTCATCTGTCTGGAGCCGTGGCCGGTTTACTGGTTGGGATTGGAGTGTTGCGGAACCTGGAGAAACGACCCTGGGAGCGCATCCTCTGGTGGATAGCTGTCATTGTTTATTTTGCACTAATGTTTACTGGAATCCTGGTTCATATCTTCCTGCCCGATTACTTCCCTAAGCCGGCATATAATTAAGATTGAATTGAAGTTGCCAAAGGTTTTAATTATTATTTGAATCCTTTTGTGGATAGGACATGAAAAGCCTTCAGGGTTTTGTGTTTTCTTTCTTTATAAATTATAATGTTTTTTTTTACTCTTATATTCTAATTACATTTTATATTAAATTTTACTTTTAAGTTCTTGTATTTAACTTTAGCAAACATAAACAAATACTAACTGAACACAAAAAGCTTTTCTAACTTAACTAACTTGTCTACCTGAAGGTTTCCTTTTCAGCTACAGCTTTGAGCCTGAACCTTACCAAAGCTAAAGCCATAAGCTTTTATCCTGGCCAAAAGCAGAACCATTTCGGCCACCATTTACTCCGAAAAGCTTTCGGAAAAACAAGCTTCGATCCGGGAACGCAATGTTAGTTAACAGAAGAGCCACCACCACCACCACCACCACCTCTACCACCCACTGGACGGGGTCATCCTTTTGCATCATAGAGAGGAGACTTCATGCTGATTGCCAGAAAGCCAAGCCATGTTTAGCCGCAGCTAGTTCAGCCCGATGGTTGGTCCAAATCATTGGGAATTCCCGCTGGGCAGGAGCTCCACAACCAACACCCAACGCCAGGCAAGTGAAAACAAGCGAAATTTTTGTGTTATATTTTATGTTAAACATTTATTTCATTATGTTTTCGGATGTCCTAATGCGGTCTGTCTGCCACCAGGCTCCGCCCGTTTTGCACCGCCCACTGGTGACTGGCCACCCGCCAGGATCCATCATCAATCAAGTGGCTCTGGTGGCTATCTGGTGGCCGCTGGCTGGTGGCCTGGTGACAGAACAGAGGGGTAAGCTGGGGAGGAGACGGGACAGGACAGATTAGGATTGGGGGGTGGGTCCAGGCTAGAGTCCAGCTCGTAAAGTGGAAAAGATTGGCGCGGCGCTTGGATCAAGATTGAAGGTTGGATTTCTGGGTGGTGTTTATGCTAAATATTATTCGTGTACTCACATAGAAATGCATCACATTTAAGTTTTTTTTTTGTATTAATTTTTGTTTAGTTAGTAGCTTGGCTTGTCAAAGCAACACACTGACATCAATAATATATATCTATATGAATATAGTATATAGGTATAGTAGATCTGCATATCCGAATATCTATGTTTAATCGTCCTTTAAGCCGAGCGTAGCGTTCTACATCAATAAATTCTTGTTTATTCAATTGTTGAAATGTATTCAATGTTGCACATTAATCATAGACACAGATACACGGATATAGAATCGGTATTGTATAGTGTATGGATATTCATTTTTTGCCTTAGAAACTAACATTAAAAATCTTCGATTTCCACTGGGACTTAATCTTTCCTTTCTCCTTCATCATCTGTCATTTCTGGGGCACAGGACCCGACTCCACATCATCGTTGGATTGGCAATACGATCTCAAAAACTATAGCTATGTGTAGAGACTACTTTTCGGAACAATACTGGATATATGAATATCCTTTGCTGCCTGCCCAATGCCTGTTCACCACCATTCATGTTTTCTCAGCTTAATTAACCTAAAACTACCAATATATGTATGTGTATGTATTTGGGGCTCTGCTAACCGCCTTTCTGGTTGTCTATAAGTGTGGGCAAGTGATTGGTAAATACTATCTTTCGTCAGTTTGAAACCGAAACGAGATTTTCACACAAATATATGTATATGATATATTATGGTACTTTGTGTGTAGCAGTAGGTCTATGGGTTTCGTGTGTATCGTCGCCCTTTTGGCCTCTGTAAGATTTCATTGTCACTTTGTAAATACACATCAAACATTTAATATTTGGTAAATATATATGTGTGTATATAATGTGATTAATTAGGTAATTGTCGAGCCACCCTAAGGGTGCCGATACATCGATTACTTGTACATGCATATGGACTTTACATTCACTTACGATCTATATGTGTATACTTGGATGTGTCTCTGGGTTGGCTTGCTCCAAAACTCCTGTCCTCATCTCCATTCTCCTTTATTTCAGAGCTAATACTGGCTGGCTCAAGACCAAAATCCCTTGACATCATCGTCAATATCATCAATTTCAACGCATTGCATGGCTAATATCAAATGATAATCCTTACTAATTAGTGACTATATCTAGCTCGGCTTCAAGTTCAACTCATTCGTCGGTTTCGCTTTCGCTTTCGATTACGATCAATCTGCAAAAAATTTCACCCTTAATTCATTGTCTGATTCCTAGGGAATGCCAAAGCTAACTAATACATCAATGTGCCTGCCATTCGAATGTCCTAATCCCTATGTCCTAAACTCTATGGACTCGCTACTCATTACTCGGTCTTTGTGGGTCGTTTGTCTCATGTCTCTCTATGTCCATCGTCTGTCTTTCGTTTGGATAGTTACTCGTTGCCGAGATTCGTCTTCCGTCATTTGTAGATCGTTACATCTGGCACCTCCTGCTCTCCTTTCTTGGAAACCTTCGTCTGCTTAAGATAAGCTCAACTTTAAGTAGCGTCTGTCCTTTGGCTTGTACTCCTCATTTTTGACTCCTTACACATATGTATGTATATATCATATATCCTGCCTTCTAACTTGTGACTTGTGAAACCGGAACTGAAACATTTTCGTATTAAATGTACACTCGGGTAACTCTACTACTTCTGGCTTCCGTTTCCAGAACAGAGCTAACTCTTCCAGGCCTTCTGGCCAGATCCCCTGGTGGATCAACTGGTTTTTATGACAAATACAAATCGAACTGATGCGGAGATGGCCTCCAACTTGTCTGCATATCCTATATCCTCTTACTATATCTATATCTTAATTTTGATTAAATGTATATGAATGTGTGTGTAAGGGTATACAAGATACAAGAGAGGAATGCAATCTGAAATCGATCTGGATCTGGAAATGAGAAAGAGATCTTTGATAATCCTGGATTTTAACACAAAGCCAGATTGATTCCAGTCCTGCCAAAATAAGGGAACAGGGGATGCGGGATGAGGGGAATCAGGACTCGGGATAGTAACGCTTCAGCTTCCTAGTGTCTTGTGCCTTCCTTATGGCTTTCTCTTGCGCTTGGCAAACATCTGGGACCACAATCAGAATCACACATTCGATGACTTGGGCACTGCGCCCGTCTCGGCTCCAGGACCTCGGGCACGGCCCTCTGGCTGCTCTCGCTGCTCCTGTCGCTCCCTCTGCTCCTGCTGCACCTCATCACGGTCGGGCGAGACCTGCTCCAGATGGATCTGAACAATATGCTCCTCCTGCTCCACTTCATCCTCATCCGCCTCCTCGGCTGTTGGGCCCTGCTCCTCGAGATCGCGGGCCAGTGTCTCACTGCGCTGCAGGCGACGCTTGTGAGAGCCATTCCTTGGCACTGGCACACGGATATTGAACTCATCGTCTACACTCTCAATCCTGTCCAGGTGCGATGCACTTTGAGCCTGAGCTGCAGCAGCAGCGGCGGCGGCGGCACTGGTGGAGGGTCCGTCGCCAATCTCTGAGGTGGCACCGCCAGCAGCATTCGAGGAGTTCTGCCGCCGTCCATTTCGCCTGCCCACAGGCACATCCTGCAGAGCCAGGCGCTCCATTTCCATCCGCAACTCACCCAGGGTGGCCGAGGCAAAGCCAGGACGCTGTGTCTCATCCACATGGACCAGGACAAAGGGCAACTTTAGCGACAATTCACCACCCATGCCACTAAGGGTAAGCTTCACCTTGACATAATACGAAACATAGATGGCAAAGACATTGCGCTCCTCGGTGCCGCCGGATGAGTTCGAGTTGCCACCAGGATGGGCCGACTGAATCTGCTGGCATGCCGGCGCCTGGTACTGATGCGGATGGGGTGTCACCAGAGCGGGACTGGCCAGTGGATGGCCAGCCAGTAGTTGGGCATTCTGGAAAACACAATGCGGTGAGCGTATAGCCGAGGCGGCAATGGCTCCGGTGATCTCCTCCGGCTCTGTGCTGCGTTGCAGTGTATCCTCCAAGGCGATCCAGTTCTTGGTGGGACCACGCTGCGGTCGAAGCTTGACCACAGTGTTCAAGGAGGCCCCGGCGGCCACAGTGCGATCCACCGGTGGTGTAATGTTGTCCGAGTCGGCGACCACATTCTTAAACTTCCCATTGTTGAACATGCATACGTCCACGTGCTGAATGGCGCAGACCTGGGGGAGAAAAGGAGCAAAGCACTTGAGTGAGGGGAATCCCCAAGAGAGATGTGGATTATAGGAAGGAGTTTTTTTTGCGGGAAGGAGTCTTTGTTTGGTACATGTAAAGGTCATCTCTTGCTGGAACGTGAGGCAACAGAAGGCAAGCCATTTCATGTGGCCTTGCGGTTAATGTCCACCACCCAGGTCTCCACCCTCAGGACCTACTCCAATTGCAGATCCACACCACAAGCCTGTGCCAATGGGGAAATGACTGGGCAGTGGTTAAAGGGAGTACCCTATATTTTTGGATCTTTTCGGTGCCAAGTAGTTCTTTATAAAAAAGGATAACAAAATCTAAAGCATAAGTAAGTTAATGTCACAAAATATGTTTCTCAACAAGAACCATTAAAAATTATAGTGATAGGTTTTTATAATAAATAAATAAGCCACCTCTTGACCCGAAGAAAGAGTATCATAGTCTCGGTGTGACTATAGATTAACCAACATCCCGTCTGGTTTTTTTTTTTGGGCCCCCTTGGGTCCTGTTTGTTTTTGGATAAGCACAAACGATGTCGAACATTATTTTATGGTTTCGGCCGAAATGTCTCTGGCCCAATCTCCCACCCAATCAACGATAATGCACTCAATTACCGACCATTCAAGTGGCCGTGCAGGAAAAACCAAAAGGAGAGAAAAAAAAACAGGGGAAAATAACAAATTAAACCCAGGATTGCCTTCATTTATTGACGGAGCCCCCATCAGAGTCGATTTTTTTCTTTTTTGGCAATGGTGACCTGCTGTCACTGCTCTTTATGTGCAATTTAGCCATCAAACAAAGAAAGGAAATAAAGGAAAACATATATAGGTATATGTTTTCTCATGGCAAAGGTCCTGGTTCTGCCAATATAAGCATTTAACATTGATTTTATTTACGGTTTCCAGAATGAGATTGGGTTTTGTCAATGTAAATTAATCATAAACCAAGTCTAAATAGAATATAATATCGTTTCTTTGGAATTTTTGATAATTTTACATTGATTTCTTAGTAAAAATGTTTCTAAGCCTTGGATTCATATTCTCATTAACCCCTTATATGAAAAGCAGTCAGAGATGGGTTTAAATTAATTCCTAGGCTCCTTGTAAATATAAAAAATACATACGAGTATAAATAATTACATCTTCCTGAGAAAAACACCTGTGAATTTCCCTTTCATTTCATTTATTAGACTTTACACATGTTCATCAAATCAAAACTCTTGACTTGTGCGAATGATTTACGAAAGGATCCTTTCTGGCTTATCCCCGACTCCATGCCATGTGCCTGGTTTCTCAGAGAGAATAAGAATGGAGGCACTCTTCTCCACGTGCCGCCCTTTAAGGACTTCAAAGGACGAAATGCCTGACGATTCCATTCCATTTCACTCCGTCCTCAGCTATTGTTAGCGTTGCGGCAGTCCGGCCGCAGATCTAATCTCAGATACGCTTTGGGTTTTGCCAAAGAGCCTGGGAGGAGGCGAGGACTGAGGCAGGCATCCTGGCACCCATCCAAAACTGGTCCCCAATCGAAATGAGCAATCAAAATCTTTCATCGACTGTTTCAATTCACAATTTCATTCATTTCCCTATACTTATATTCCTTAAATGTTTACCGACCACTTCTTGATCATTTATACTGCAAGAAAAGCGGGTATCCTTTTCCATGTCCTGTTTCAGAACTTCTGGGGATATTTATATATTCTGATATATATATATATATAACTTATTTAAAACATTTTTAGAAGCCACAAAGAAAGAAATCTTGTTAAGAAAAAAGGACTTTAATAAAATGTTTGCTTATTAGAACTATTTTCTTGTAGTGCATTTTCCGTGTCCCTTTTGGCAGGCTCCTTTTTGTGCAACACTTGCGGGAGTTTCAATTGGCTGGGGTTTTTACCAGGACCAGGACCAGGACCGACTTTTGGCTGCCGGCATGGACTTGTTGCTCGGCCCTCTCTCCTCATCCTCCTACGCCATGGAGAACAGATGTCCAAGTTACCCAAGGACCTGCCATGGGGACACCCTTACCGCTGCTGCTACTTTTGACATTTGTTGGGTGACTTTGGTGAAAAACACAACAAAAAGTACAAAGCAATCTCGGCACACACAGATACACACAATAAATATACATATTTAATAAGGCGCAAAGTGCATGATGAAAATAAAGAAAACGAGCGCAGAAAAATAAAAAAAATATATATATACTTAAGATATATATATTTATAAATGTGGGAGCAGGAGGCGGTGCCATCAAATCAAATCGAATTATGCGACTGCATAAAAGATGGCAGCAACTTGTCACAAATGGACAAGGACGAGCAAGGACGAGCAGTCTGAGAACATTATTTGTCGTTACAGAAAAACAATTTGGAAAACATTGCATTTGACAAATAGAAAGCCACACAGAAGCCATTAATTATGCAAATCAGAAGTTTAGCTTAGTTTTTGGAAAAGAAATTATTACTTTGACCTTTGTCAACCTACTTTATTTACCTAAATATATATGAAATTTTTACTATTTAAGAATTTTGTTTTTAATTTTATAAAAATCGGACGGCTCTATCATAAAGCCATAGAAACAATGGGGTAATTAATGGTAAGTAATTATAATCTCTCCCCTTTTTTTCAACATACTTATATTTGTTATGCATTACTTTTCACAATTATTTATTTTTTTATTTCACTCAATTGGGAAATAATATTCAAGCTTTGAGACTGCCCATCAAATCCTAATTGGATCGAGCTTCTAGTTTAAGTTGAAACTGCAAGCTTTTGGGAAGTGGCCACCTGATATTGGCATCATTGCAGTAAATTCTCTCCCTCTCACCAACTAGCCGAAAAAGCGCTAAACATAGCTTAATAGCGGCTCTCCCGCTGACCATGCGAAGTCAGTTCCTGCATCACCACCGAGCGAAACGGAGGCAAAAAAAACTACGGAAAAAACCCAAAAGAGCTCTTGTTGCAGATCACTGCGGCGGTGAAAAGTGCATAAACATGGAAAACTATCACGGAAAAACCAAGTACAAGTGTTAAAAGTCCGGGAAAACAGCGAATCCCCACAGTGAAAAGTGCAAGTGAAGCGGACCTCCGCTGCCGTGGGTTTTTTCCTATAGCAAACTGCGTGTGCGTGTGTATTAGTGTGTATGTACATAAATAGGCAAGATCCCGGCGAGATTTTTGGTTTTCTGTATGTACAACAGCAACTATAACACAGTGGATAAAGAAAATCTTTGAGTTAGAGCCTTTTAATAAACAATTTAGAAGGTTTTCTTTGACTTGCAATTTGCGTGTGTGTGTGTTTCGTACACCAACTCGGCGTTGAGATCTGCAGCGCTAAGCAATGCAAAGGGGTGAGTGAAACAACACTATTATCTATTTTCTTTTATCCTCGACTTCCTCTGCTTTCGCGCGCGCAGTTTTTTGCTTCTCTGGCTTAGCTCGCTCTCGCTCTGACCAGTGAAACCTAAGAGAGCGAGAGAGCCGCTCAAGAGATGCGATCCGCTCTTGTGTTTATCAATTTTGACATTTGAAAAGCGGTAAATCGCCGCGGCGTTTGTTTACCTTTTTTTCTCTTGGCAATTTGTAAATTTGGGAGTCGAGAAAAAAGCACTTAGCGCGAGCGAAACTGAACAAAACTTTACATTTATAATTAAATACTTCTGACCCTATTTTAATATATATATTAATATTTCTATTATTATTATATATTAATATTTACGATATAATTATTATATACAATTAAAAATTTTTTTTATAATTTAATCAAAAGGGAAATTATTTCATTTTAAGTATACATTTTTAATATATCTTCTTTTAGTTTTTATTAGCTTTTAACGCATATGGATCGATTCTCAATGATCCATTTGTATGGATATACAAACTTCGGTGTGCCGAAGTTAACTTCTTTTTCAAAGCTATTTTTTTAAGGATATGATTATTAGCTAATTTTTTTGTGATGAATTGAAAATTTCAAAATGTCATAACTAAGCCAAAATTAATTAATTTCAATTTGGAAAACAACATTATTCTAGCTTTCTAGCTAAGGTTTATAAATCTGCATACTGAATTTTATAATTAAATCTTTTGTCAATTTTGGAAAATTTTAGCCCCTTAATTTTTTTTTTTTTAATCTCAAAATTTTTTTTTTTGGTTGATGCTGATCGGAAATTACCCCTTCACTTTCTTTTAAGTTTCTGACTGAAGGTGCAACACCATTTTTTAATCGATATTAACTACATTTTTATATGAAATTTTTTCGACAAATCAAAATGAAAAAACTCAAAACTAAGCCAAAAAACCAGTAATTTCAATTCGGAAAGCTTTTCCATGTTAGTTTTTAGTAGGTTAATAAATCTACATACTCAATTTAAAATAATAATGAATTCAAAATTTTGACATTTTTTTTTACAATTTTAACGATGTAACCCCTTAAAAATTTTTAAAATTTTTTATTTTTTCCCGAGATAGCTAGATCGATTCGCTTTTTGATGCTGATCAAGAATATGTATGATTTATAGGGTCGGAAATGACTCCTTCACATTCTTTTAAGCTTCTGACTGAAGGGGCAATACCATTTTTTAAACGATATTAGCCAATTTATATATAAACATTTTTTCGACAAATTAAAATGTAAGAAACTCATAACTTGGCCAAATAGGAGTTAATTTCAATTCTGAAAGCGTTCGTATGTCAATTTTAAGCAGCGTTATAAAACTGCATACTCCATTTAAAATGTGAATTTTTTGAAGATTTTTGAAAATTTTAATGATGTAACCCCTTTGCTTTTTTTAAAATAATGGGAAATATCTTAAAAAATTTTTTTCGGCCGGAGATGGCTTAAAAGATTCGCCTGTTGATGCTGGTCTAGAATATATGTATATGATTTCCAGGGTGGGAAATGACTTCTTCAAGCTTTTGACTATATTTATAATACCCTAAAAGGGTATTGAAATGTGTCGAAAAATTACAACATATCTCAAAGTATTTAAGGTTGAAAGCTGATATTTATAAAATGTTTTGAATGGGCAATTAATTTAGCGGTGGTTTAGTTTTAATGCGGATTTGTACACAAACATTTCCTTAATGCTCGTAAAGAAAATACCCATAACAAATTGTTCTTTTACTGCTCTTAAGGGGCATAAACTACTGATTCAAGTTAATCGTAGAGGTCACTGGATTTTAATTAATCTTTATGGCTCAACCAAAAGGGCAAGTACCAAGTGCCTTGTCCTTGGGGGGAACGCTTTAAAGTCACCCCAAGCGATTGATATATAGTTGGCGGATCGTTATTTACGCCCGCAGACAAGTCGCTGCCATGTGTAAATGTCATAACTTGTATCTGTCGATGACTGTATCGACGGGGACTGTCTGCTGCTGTTCCTTGGCCACGGTCCCTATTCATTGGCGAACAATGTACTGTGAAAATACTGCGGTTACAATAAAAATAAACAATAACATTTGATGGGAGGTGGGGACGGGCACCATAAAACATTTTCCATTGCTTGAGTGAGTCCCTGGACCCGGCTCCTCCGGCTCCTTTTCTGGCGAGGACTTTGCTGCCGTCTGCATTCTGCCATTTCGATGCGATTCCATTCTATTCGATTCGATTCGATTCGATTGTCTCCTGTCAGGCTCGAGCTGTGTTTGCGTTATGCATTTTGCATTAGCCTCGAGTTCCATTTCCATTTCTTGCGGATTGCTCTGGCATTGTACCCCGTCTCGTATGCGTAATATCCGGTGCGTAATTAAATGGAGGCGCAAGACTTGTACCTTTGAGCAGATGCCCTGCCGAAGCTTAGATACACTTTAGCAAAAATCTAGTTCATTTGCGACAAGAAAGCAAGAAAACAGGAGTAGTTTCTCAAGGTCCTGCTATAGTTTTTCTGAGAGATAAATTGTCAATTTGTAATCCTCTGCAACTAGAACCCACAATATGGATCAGAAAGTAGCTAAAAAGTGTCAGTCAGATTAGTTTGGTTTGCAGCGGCTACCGCACTTAGCATTTTGCATAACACACAACATGTCCCGCGGTTACATTCACCTGTCGTCCTCAATCCTGGCACTGCTGACCACGAATTTGTTTGCGTGTGCGTGTGGGCAGTAATCTGTACGTATGCGGAGGCGTCTATCTCCCTGCACGTATCCAAAGCAGAGGAGCTTGGAGGCTTGACAATGCCAGGTTCGGGGATATTCGGAAATTCGAAAATTCGGATACGAAAAAAGGGATAAACGGTCGAGGCGGAGAGGAGGTTTTTCAGGATTAGGCAAAGCCAGGCGCAGTGCGAAACTGTAGCACACTTTTGTGTGTCCCATTTTCCCCTTTTAAATGCGAAATGTCCTTGAAGGGATGCTCGCCTATACTCGTATAAAGGGTATAGATGCCATGAGCCTGAGCATGCATTCCAAAGGTAGCGGGAATGGGTAGAGGAAGCGGCCTTTGGGGCACAATAAAAAACCAGAGAAGGGGGTAGAAGAGGGTAGGATAAAGCCCATAAAATGTATAAACACAATTTTCACTTCAACTCAGTCTTTTGCCAGCCTTTCACTTTGTTGCTCCTGCCCCGTTGCCAGGACTCAAGAGATTGCACTGGAAAACTTCCTTAGCTTTCTCCACACATATTTGCATGTTTTTTTTACGAACTTTTTCTTGAATCTCTCTGTGTGTGTGTGTGTGTGCTTGTGTGTTTTTGTGGAGTGTGTTTAAGGAATCAACTGCCTGCCTGCCTGTCTGTCTTGGCCCCAAGGGAGCCTATCGCTTGTGCAGGCATTTTATCCTTAAACAACGAACACCTGGCGTATGCTTAATACTGCATTTGCTTCAAAGCACATGGTGACTTCCATTATCTTTGCGAATTCCATTGAAATTGCCTCAAATTGGCATGCAATAATTTGAAAATTATCTTAGGTAATTGACTTAACGGCTATAATCAATTACTGGCCCCAAGTCAATGGGCAGCCGTACGGGGTGGTGCATAAGTCTCACCCCCACCCACACCCATTATACGACCCCCGCCATGGTCGTTATCCTTGCTGCGCATCAAGAGTCACTGCTGAGTGGCTTTGATTAACTGTCATAAGTATGTATTCCTGAACCGACTCCATGGGGGGGAGTCCTCGTCCAAGGATTACCCTTCGTTAAACAGCTTATGTGCTTCATGGGGGGCCCAAAGCAGTTCGCATTACATTCTCCAGGACAATGCACATACGTAATTTCAGATTTTTACCCATTGGGTGAGGGTAGTGCATCCATCAGAGGCGTCTGCTACTGCTGCTGCTGCTCTCTAAGCCTTTAGTCGGAGCAGCCAATTATAAACTGCAATATGAGGTAATTTCACATCACTTGCTGCAAATTCTATTGTTTGCCAAATAAACGCATTACCCTGGCAGGGTGGGTAGCGGTGTAATTTCTCTAAACAAATTGAAGGATCCACATCGCTGAACTGGTCCTGATTGGCAGAATGGTTGTGTTGCTAGTTGGAGATTACTTTCCTTTGTGTTTCAGGAGTTATAGGAGTTATAGGGAATTTGAACTGCCCAAATGGACTCATTACGGTGCCATCAAGCATGATATTTGCTTATTTTAATTGTGATTATTAGCTCGGGTAATAAGCTTATTTGTAGGTTTGATAAACCTTAGCTACCGAAATTAATTAATGTCAAGACAATATAATGGAATTTCTGCAAGCTCCAGATGAGCTTGATTATGCGGTTCGTTTTTGAATTTTTTTGTTAAGAAAATTGCATTATTATCTCTGAACTAAACCAAGAGAGCCTGAACCCAAAATATTTTTTATGCCACACAGAAAAACATGCAGTTTTTTTCCAGCTTCCCCCCAGTTAGATCATAAAGCAACAGTTTGCCAGTACCACATTGCGTATACGTTATATTCATAGCCATGAACAACATTGTTAGGGATTGCCTGCATAACGAAGGACCAAGTGCAAAGTTGTTGCTATGATATGGGGACTAGATGTCCCTGGGTGTGAATAGCATGTAGGGGAATGGGAATGGAAATAGAGAGGGGACTAAGGTGTGTGTGTGTGTGTGTGTAAAGGGTATATAAATCCTTATTGCAAAGAGAACACAGAACTACAGCACTTACCCGCACTTTGCGAACCGTCTTGCGGCTGTCGTTCCTTATTTGGACGGTCACATTGACATCCTCGCCATGCGTGTACCATCCCTTGTCCAAACTGGCCCTTAGACCCACGCGTCCATCGTGTAGCAAAAAGGGCTTGTCCACAGAACCTTGAGGACCGCCGCAAGGACCCACGCTAACGCCGCCTATGCCGCCGGTGACCCCGGCTCCAGTATGCGGCGGCAACATGCTGTCACAGTGCTAGAAATGTAACCAAAATATTAGGGAAAGATATATACAGGAGGCGCTCCCTTCACTCACCTCCTGGAAGGACTTGCTGTAGTTGTGAAAGGGATCATTTGGGCACTTTTCAATCTCGCTCTTGCTGCGTCCAAAGCGACCGCTGAAGCGAAAGGATTTGGGTGAGAGGCGTAGTTTGGGGAAGGAGTCACCCCGCTCGGATTTGGCCTTTTGCTTTGATCCGCTGGCAGGCTGCGAGTGGGAGTGCGAGTGGGAATGAGGATGGTTGCAGGGATTTCCGGGATTGCAGAATGGCTGCTGCTGCTGCTGCTGCTGTTGCTGGTCGCTGCCACCACCACCCTCAGCACTGGTTGGGGGCGTGGCACTGGCCGGCGGTGACTGGGCACCATGCTGGCCACCAGCAAAAGCGGCAAAGTGTTCGGGAGCCAGATTCTGATGAAAGACGTCCGTGCGATAGATGACCCTAACACCCATTTTGACAGAGGCGCGGCGATGGAACTTCTCATCGGTCTTGTCCGCTGCAGGATCACAAAATATAAAGAAAAAAGAAAGAAAGTGGAAAAAGTCAGGAGGGAAAAGAAGGGAGAAAGAGAGAGGAAAGGATCCTGATTAGTAATTTAATTCTTGTGGAAGTCCTTTATTTTTGCCGCTGCAGTTGCCGCCGCCGACGCTCGCTAAGCTTTCTTTTTTCAATTAGTTTCAAGGATCTCCATTACGTATCCTGCTTAATTTCCGGTCTTAATTTTGTGCTTGAAGTCAGAGTCCGTCTTTAGTTCGAATGCCAAATGATTATGAATGCAAGTATTTATAATATCTTTACGGTATTATCTTTTGCCTCAGGCAGGCAGGCGGCTACTTGAACGGGTTGAAGGCTCCAAGGAGGCTGTTCACATATTAATTAGCTGGGGGATGGAGTCATTACCAGGAAGGGAAGTAATATATGGACAGCCGCCAGGTGCCCAACTTTACATGAAACAAATCGAAATGGAACATTTAGAAATGGCGGGAAGAAACAGTGAGTGAGTGAATGAGATGGATAGATGCAGGTCGGGAGTGGGAAGAGTGACAAAATAGGATCAACAACAAGAGAGATCAATCACAACAACGGTAGGGATGATCAGGACACACTGAGACAGAAACACACACAGAGAGAGAGAGAGAGAGAAAGGGAGAGGGAGAGCAAGCTACAACACCAAGAAACGAAATGGAATAGAACGGATACGGATACGACAACAAGTTCTGAACGGAAACACACACACAGAGAGAACGAGAGAGAGAGAGATCCCATTCACATTCCTTCGGGGTTATACAACATTCACATTCACAATCACATCCACATCCGGCCGCCAACCTGCTTACCTTCGGGGGCCGTGCACATACAGGCACAGCAGCCGCGGCAGAATAGCTCAAGGAGCCAACGGGTCAGCAGATTGGGACGCTTATGCCTGATCTTGGGCTCCGCGGCTCATATGGGCTCATCGTCGCTAAGGGACTCTATGGGAATATTGGATAACGGGGGCGATACGAACGATATACGGGCTAATGAGGGGCGTGCGATAATGAGAAATGGAGTCTTAAGTGCGAGAGTGTGTACAGTGCGTTTCATATTCAAGCCCTAAGATATTATTCACCCTCCAATTCTATACATATTTTCACCAAATACATGAATAAACTTAAGTAAATAACCGGAAATTGTGTGGACAATGGGGGGAAATTTGAAAGGAAACCAAAGCTACAGATGCTCCCTGGTCAAATCACACAGATCTGTAATTAAAGTAGCTCCTTCAGACTACTTGAACACAATGGTAGTGCTTTTGTGTCCAGTTGGTACTTGAGAGCAGCACGTCTTCGGTTATGTCCTGGCTGATAGCGTATGATTATGGAGGAGGAGGTGGCCAGTAAATTCAGGAACTTGCCTGGCTTGGGGCGGTAGCAGAAAGACAGAGGGAGAGAGGGAGCTTTGCATGCTAAATGCGACAATTGAACGAGTGACAGGACCACGACCACAAGCATGACCAGGACTCGTCTTGGCTGGCGGCAAGTCGCACACTTTCATTTAACAGGATATTGCATATCGCAGCCATGTCCTGAACAGCGACAAAAAAAAAAAACACAAAGAGTCTATCGGACATCTTTCGCAGGGCCGCGGGGTGCCATGGAGCAACTGAAACAATATCAACTCAGTACCAATCTGGGAATCTGAATCTCAATCTGAATCCAAGCCGACGGCTTCGTTCAGTGAAAGCATTTAATATGGATTTTATTTTTGTATTCATTTTCCCTATCCACTTTCGGTCTTCTCAGAAAAGAAAACCAAAAAAATAATGCCTCAATAGATGGCATTAATCGAAGTAACAATTTACAAGTGTTCTTTAAATCAAGCTCAAATTAAGCATAAAACTAAAGTGATTCTTAAACTTTTAAAGGGATTAATTAAAATAATATTCAAAAATGCAAAAAATATACTTTCTTACACATAAATCCCTACTAATAACTTTCTAAAATAATGCAATTTTATTTATTAAATGAAAACGTCTTTGGCCATATCATGTTTCAAGTGTTCAAAGGATGCCATAGGATACCAGAGGATAGCCAAAATTTGGGTGTTTGATTGTAAATAAATGAAAACACCTTCCTCCCCCTTTTGTAACTAGAAAATTTAGCTGTAGGTAAGGTAAGGTATACGAAAATAAAACAAAAAACCGAGTGGAAAACGTTCGTTATACAAAAATCAATCACAAATCTCCCCCCTCTTGTTGACGTCAGAGGGACGAAGGATACAGGGGGGGAAAAACCTTCGTTTGGGGGCAAAATGGGCGTGCCAGCTGACGGACTGATGGCGGCAGATGGATAGATATTTATATACACATATAATTGAGCTCCCATGGCACCCGTGTTGATTGTCGCACAGTCACAGTCACGGTCGCCGGCGGAGATTCCCATTTCCCATTTCCCATTGGGTTCTGTCGATGAGTAGATTGGGTCTGATGCGTTGGGAAGAGGAGGAGCAGGATGAGGAGAAAGAGTGCTGCAGGTGCTGGGTGCCAGGAGATGCCAGCAATGCGAGTGTTGAGTGTGCTTCAGGTGTAGCCAGTCCCTGTCCGTGTCCGCGTCCGTGTCTGTGACCCAGTCCCAGACATTTGCCGACAGACTTTTCCCGTGTCCTTGCCCATGTACCCGTGCCTGTGTCTGTGTCTGTTAACCTGGCCAAGACTCGCCAAGTTGGTCTGTGTATCATTTAAGGCAGTTGACCTACTTTAAATTCTTAAATTTCCTCTTTTTTCCTTAACACAAATTAAGTAAATAGTCAGTAGTTACAGAGCTAGTATGGTTGAGTTTAAAGAAATAATATTTAAAGAGTAAAGAAACTTTGTCAAAATGTTGTTCTTTTTAATTGAGTTCTAGTTGAATTTGTACCTAAATTTAAAGACTCATGTGTTTAGTAGTGGTTTAATTATAAATTTAAAAGTACTAGAAATAGGTTTATCAATTATATATCCTTATTTTTCCCTGAAACATATATTAATGCAAAGTAAAAGCGTATTTTTACTACTACTAATGCATTACTTAAAGTGATTTTAAATCAGATTTTAATAAATGTAAAAAATAAATATAAATTAAATAAATTTCTGGACAAGGATCTGATACATTCCCCTCCCTTTACCCCTATACTACATATACAGTCTGTAGAGTCCCTGGTGTTATCCTGGAACTCTGTTAGTTTCAAAGACTTACCAATGAAGCAGCGGACATCGTAGCTGGTGCCGATCGGGGCTCCATAGTATCGCTTGGCCGGGACCAGCTGCACACTGGGCGGGGCATGGGCGGATAGCGACAGGGTGAAGGGATGGGCGCCATCGCCCAGGCGCTTCATCAAAGCCTCCTGGCAAAACGAGATACAGAGAAATGGGGACAGAGTGTAAGGCAGATGCGAATACCGTTTTAGCATTTTGATTGATTCTCGCAGCAGCCGGAGGACGGGCAGCTAGCTTCAGTCCTAACCCAAGGCCGTGGCCAAAGTCGGCGTAATTGCCTCAGTTACAGGCGAATCGGATATGTTTATTTATTTACCACTTTAATTATGCATTTCGGCCTTGTTGTTGAGCCTCAAAACAAAAGCAAAAAATAAAATTGTTTGGCTGAAGCTGTTTCTTTGTCTGCTTCGGATTCGGATTTGGATTCTGTGTTATTGCCCGGCATTTCATTTGCATTTGATTACGCACATCTGTATACATAAATAAACATATAAATGTATATATAAAAACCTACAGATCGATGTATATAGGTATTCTGAAGTGGAACTTGTTCAATACTAAAAAAAACTATTGTTTTCTTAGGTGTTGCTTAATATTTGTTACATATTGTATATTTTTGTTTAAAGTAATATGAAATATCTAATTTAAATGAAAAGAATAAATACATATATGTAATGATAGGGACTCGTGATTATTTGAACATCCTTAACTGGTAGAGTCCACTCTAATATATGACACGGTATACTCATTCATATGCCAAGGACTAAATGTTGGCGCGTGTACTTATTCCCAGGTTGCCTGGGACAACGGTAGCCACAAGGACACTGGGATCCGACAGGGTCTGGCCTCAAAAAGGATAATGATTATGGGATTTAACCGTCGGGATGCTAGTGAGCTTGCAAGTTGTGAACTCTGAACTCGGAAAAATTGTATCGGATGCGTGAACTTTACCATTCGATAGCCCTGTCATCGTGCGCCATCTTGAGGTGTCTCCGGTATCCCTAAACCTTTTTTTCGCCCTCAGCCTGACACCTTCTGTCTTGGCTGTTGTCCTGGCAGCAGCCAGGATCCAGCTATCCAGCTATCTATGTACCTATCCTGCTTTCAAGATATCCAGCTATCTCTTACTCCCTTCAGCATTATAATCAATCGCTGGCGAATCTCTTTGCTCGGCCCAGCTCAATCTATCAAATATGTACTGCAACAAGTTGTTCCTTTTCTCGGTATATATATATTCCTACACTGGGGAAAAAATAGGGTTTATGGGGGAGCTATTTATATGTCAGTTGTACTCATTATTTGTAAGTAAGTTAGTCCCTCTTTTGAGCCTTGTAAATATTAGAAAAAGGCTTAAACCTATACAAATTACACTCACTCTAGAGGAAGCTACATCCCTTTTCTCCCAGTGTCTTATTTCCTTTGAGCAAGCATCCCAAGTTCCCATCATCACTTTTGTTTGCCTAGGCCTATTTTCGTCCTGGCTTCCCTCTCCTTGCCTTCATCTTGGCCGGCTCTTGTCGCTGGGCAAGTTATTAAAATCAAATTTATTTAATTATGCGTGCGCCCCTCTTGGCTGTCCCTGTCCAAGTCCCTGGCAAAGTCCCTGCCCCTGTCCAAGTCCGGTAAGGACCCTAAACGGATACGGTTGCCAGTGAGTCCATAATACTGGACTTTTTTGGCTAACCAAATTCGTTAGGAAGCAAGGAGGGAGAGCTGTTTCCCGCCCCATTTTGTATTGGAAATGCGGCGACGGCAGGCAAATAAATTATTCCTTGTCAAATTTAATAAAAATGCGAAAAGTTGAATTCGAAAGTTTTCTGGCCAGTCCCCTTGGCTTGTCCCAAAAACAGGGTCTTTGGAATTTCGAGAGCCAATGGCAAACATTTGTTTGGCTTTTAGCTAAATTAAATTGATTTTCAATTGGTTTAAGTGCATCGAACTCGGAGGATTCCCGAGGAACAACGGAACAAATAAACATATATATACATATATTTCAATTCGAGGGCGCACGTGAGATGTCAGCATCCGGCGTCCGGAGTCATAAAAATCCAAGAGTGGGGTCTTTCGAGTGACTCAAGGACTCAGTCCGGGGACTTCGTCATAAAGACAGTTCGTATTAGCATTCGCCTATCGAAAGGACAAAAGCAAATTCGACTAAAAAAATGGTTGCACGGCATTGAAATAATCAAATTAAATGCAAGCCAGCCTGTCAATTAGCGTATTTAATTCCAGTTAGTTTTTTATTGCAATCAGGAATTGTATATTGTTTTCAATCAAATGAGAAAATTTGATTTAATTTAATTTGAAACAATATTGTTTATGATTTAACTTGAAGCTATAATTCATGTTAGAGCCAGGTCTATCAACCTTAAAGTTGAGCTAAGCTATGTAGAAATTTCAGCTGGAATCTTTTGCTGACCAGCCAGGACTCACTGGCATAGACCAGGTGAAATTTCAGCCAGGACTCACTGGCATAGACCAGGTGAAATTTCAGACGCTCCCCAGCTGGGCAACGCTCTCTCCTCGCCAATGAGGTGCCAAATGATGGCGTTGCAAAGCTCTGCAAATTTGCCAATTATTTATGGTCCTGTGCAGCGAGGCGCTTTCCCCGATGGATTGAATTGGGAAGGACGGATGGACGGATAGATTGGGTGGCGAGGGGGAAGTGCCACAGTGCAGCGCTCCCGCAACGTCATCAATTGTTAATGCCGCCGCCGAAAGTTGGACAGCTGCTCGACTCGCCCGCAACTGCCTGGGGCTCTTGCTGGTGGATGCTGCAGGATGCAGGATGCAGGATGCAGGACCCCGACCTCGACCCGGGGGCTCCGGCATGCATAATTTCAATTACTATGATTACCTGCAGGGGACTGAGTGACTCCGGCGTTGGTTCCTCGAGACGTGGCCAAATCTGATGCAGCGACATGATGGCCTCGTTGCAGAATCGTAGACCCATCACCTCCTCGTCCTCGCGGCCATAACTGAGAAGGGGAAAATATGAAAGAGGTCTTTTGAGTATTTGACTCAGTTAGGAGGCCGAAATCAAAATGATTGTTTTGCTGAAAACTCAAAGAAATCGATATAGCTGTGCCACAGGGGCGTATGAGTAATCTCACCGGAACGTGAGCGTCAACTGGGCGTATACGCGATATCCCTGAATGGCTTTGGGGTCGACATAGACAATGCCACGCAACACGGATGGATTGTTGCCGGTGAGCGTGATCTCGCGGGTTGGTAGATACAGGGTGAGCACACAATTGGGTGACGTCTTCTTGTAGACACGCTGGGTGCCAAACTCATCCCTGTGGGTGGATCTAAGAGGGAGAGAGAGAGATATACAGAGGGAGCGAGATGAGATTCTGCCACAAGTCAAGGGGCACCACCAGCGGGCGGAGCTCTGTAGCCAAAAAACAAAGGCCAAACTCAGCAGCAAATAAACAAGGTGGCATCTATAATGTTAACATTCCATTGTAAACAAAATAACAAATGCATACAGTCGAATTTCCTCAACTTGAACTTGTTCTTAAACCTTTATCTTTAAATATGAATAAGATCAAAGTGCAAATTTGAAGAGCAAACACTTTCTAAATGAAAAAGCTTACAGTTTACTATATAATCTATAATTTTTAATGTGAATTAATCTTCTTTAGCTTAGTTTCCTAAGCTTCTAGTTTCTATACACCCCAGTTCAAGTCATTGAAGTTCGACTGTTGACTTTTCTAAGTAATGTATAGTAATATAATAATCAAAAATCAACAGCTACTGTTAAGTTAAATATCAAAATCTTGGCCAATTGGTTGAATTTCTTGATGCCAAATCTAAAATTTGCATTTCGAATTTCGAATATTAGAATCAACGTAATCTAATTAAATAATTATGGGAATAAATTCGTAGAAATTTATGATTTCATGGGCAAAAGTGCTGAAATGTCAACTGTTTTAGGTGGATAATGTGTGTGTGTGATGGTGTAATGTGTGTAAGCGGTGAAGTTAAGCCAAATGTTAAGTCCATTATGTTTGTATAAATAGTGCACTTATTTTTGGAAATTTGTTTAATTATTTACATAGAAAAGTTGCCAATTTTAAGAGATAATTGAAGTAAATTTTTTATATAAAGCCAGATACAGTTTCATTTCGTCAAAGTCTTAGCCGATCCATTAACATAAACTTTAATTTGGAATTTTATGATTTCTAAAAAATAAATTTAATCAAATGGAAAATTAGTGATGATCTTACAACTACAAACTCGCTATTCTAATTTATTTCTAAGCTCTAAGAGCTGTACAAAGTTAAACAAAGAAGCAAACTAGTGAATATATAGGTAATGGAGTAGAAAAAAATGCTTAAGTTATTTAATAACATCCCTGAAACTTATTTCTAAAAAAATATTAACCGGTATAGGTAATGATTATATTTTTAAATTTGATTCATTGGGGAGTAAATTAAACAAGAGACTATATGAATAGATTTTTAGGCTGATTACATTCCCTAAAGTGATTTGGAAATGTGTTTAAAGGTTGACTACCCAAGACTATAAATTTGAATCCATGAAACTTACGCTATGTTGCAAGTATATACTAAGTTATATGTATATATAAATTACACATTTGTGAAATAACGTATACTTATAGATTTTAGCCATTCTCTAAATCATAATTATATAAACTAGACTCCCATTTTGAATGTCTGATTGATCCTGGGCAAACTGCCACCCGAAATACATTGTAAAATCCTTTTTTTTGTCACATAATGAAGCATAACATATATTTGCCAGTCCAAGTCCTAGTTCCCCACATAGTCAAAGTGCTCGGTCAGTTGTGCAGTTCAAGGCTCACTAATCATTGACTCAATTATGGCCAGAGTGGCAACCGCAACATGCTGCTCTTCACACGCCCCGGGAAACCACAGGAGATGGAGAAGTTCCACATACAACTCCGCCGGACAGGACACTAAACGGCTCTAGAATTCTATTTCCTTGCCGCAGGCTTTTGTGGCAAAAATTAGAATGCAGTCAATTTGGCAAATTAACGCTGACTCTGGTCCAAGTGCTGCCAGGATTTTGTACACATTTTGTGGGGGGAACATTCATTGATTCTGTGGCCGGGATATGGGGACCAAGACCAGGACTAGGACATAAGGGAGTCCTGCCTGAAACTGCGGTTTAGCCACGTTTTTGTCCTTTCAAACCGACTTGCTCTGACCTTCTCTGGTTGCCAATGGGACTTAGTGTCTCTACAGTAGAAAGAAAGAAGGGGATGTTGCTTAGGAAAAATCTTTTAATCCTTGAAGTCTTCTTCCTTTATCTGAAGATATATTTTCTCTAATTTATGATACTTTCTGTAAAAGTCTTCGTCAAATACTTTGTGCCACTGTTAGTTTCTTTCAGTGCACTTTCTGCACACGCACAGGTGAGCAATTAGCAGGAACTGCAGCTGCAATCAGCGCAGGACCTTTTCCCGGGCTAAAAACTGGTCCGGGGGAGCTCCCAGAAAATATGCAATCAAAATTCCTGACCCGTCATCAGTTCGTGGTGACGAATGCTTAGATAAAGCGAACGCAGGACCACAGAACCTGGGACCTACATAGCTCCCTGCCAATTATGTCACAGTCCTCGCAACTCCAGCTAAGTGTTTTAATTAGTTTCATTTTGATCATTTTGCCATCATAAAAATGTTGCCAAAATTAAATTGTTGTCCTTTTGGCAAATGGAAATATATATATATGTATATATATTTGCTGGAATTATAATTTTGAAAAGTTTCTATTTTAAAGAATGAAATGAGACTATCAACATTTTACAACCTTTCTAAAATGTACGTTTCTGGAAAATTACTAATTAGCAAAGGTCAACTTACTGAAGCTCAAAATAGAGCAGTTCTTTGTGGCCATAAAGGACAGGGTATTTATAGAAATTCTGCGTATTTTATATATATATAGAAACATTTATATTTATAGGTAGCTATTATGATTTGTGATTTCTGAGCTACTTAGGACATAATTGAGTTCTTTAGTCTACTTGATACTTCCTTTTGTGTTGATTTTATAAATTAAGGATTTTCTAGTCAGGCAAGCCTTAAAGTTTCCTCTGGGGGTTAGGACACTGGACTCTGCGGTGCAAAAACAATTCTATTTTGGGCCCAGGCAATCAGTTGTTCTGGGCCAACTTGACCGCAACTTGCAGCTGCGAATAGGTTAAGCTTGAAACCAACTAAGATGAAAATCAGAAGGCAAGCTACATATCTCACAGTTGTCTAGAGTGTGGGCCATGTGAGATGGCTTCAAAGACCGCAGGTTACAGGCTTCAGTCAGGAGTTTGGTTTGGTTTTAGATGACCTGCAGCTGAACCTGAAGCTGGAGATTTTCCCCTAGCTCAGCGCATAATTAAAATTTAATGTGACAACGCTGAATAAAAACCAGGAGAAAAAGTTTCAGCTTACAGCATCCTGCGGCTTTGGAGGCATCAGTTGCCGCCATTGTTCGAAAGGACTTTGAAATAATTCCAAATTCCATTGCTCCGAGGCTAAAGGCTGCTCTGATTGGGGCTGTCGATGCAGATGCAGACAGGATTCAGTCGCAGCTGGATAGATAAACGAGAAGAGCTTCTATTTTTTGGCATCATAATAATCATACCAAGGGATAAGTACGCATATGTCAGGCGCCAACTTTTAATTACATTCGAATATTTGTTGTTGTCGAAATTCGTTTCATTTCGTCGCATATTTATAAAAAAAAGTTTCACCAAATCCACTCGATATTAAGTTTCACATTTCGGGTTTTCAATTTCCCCGGCACACCGCTGAAGGCTAACGAGCTGGTTGCTGTCAGCGTGTCCTGGCGGAAATGCAGGATTGAATCCTGCAAAACTGGCGCCACAAATGGCAGTTTGAACTGGCCATTAAAGCCGTTTAAATTACCAGCATTTTTTACTCATCACAAATGCTGTTTTATGGCTGCAAATAATGTAATGTGTAAAGCCTTTATTAAGGATTGTTTTTGTAAGAGTATAATTTAAGTATATCTCTTAAGGCTTCCTCGCCACTAACTTGAGCAGTAGTAAAACTTTTCCCCAGAGTCAGACTTCTTGTAATTCCAATTAAAGTTAACTTTAACTTGTTGACTAAGGGTCCTGCACACTCCACACTCCCGACCCGGTTATCATCCTTGCTCCTTGCTCGCTTCGAGTGTAAATTTAATTTGCGGCCAGGTGGCTGCCTCATCAGGAGGCGCGGCAGGTGAAGGATAAGTATTCCTTAATTGAAATACATTCAGCAAAAGCATCGCTAGGACGTTCGAAATGTGGTTTGTAATTTGATAAATTGAGTTATCTAAGCTTAAAAATTTTAAAATAAAAATCTGGAAGATGCTGTATTAATTACTTGCTGCTTAGAATTGCCAAATAATTTGCAGCATTTCTCAAACGGAAAATAGGAATAATTAGAAATGCTGCATATATGTACATATGTATATCTCTGTGTATTCGCATTGTTTGCCCTTAATTAAGGATAGTTATTAGCAAAAGTTATTCAACTGAGACTTTGAATATGAATATTATTCGGCCAGTAATGATTTCCCAACTAGATGTTGGACTCTCACAAAGGACATGCATACACACAGGAATCTGTGTGTTTCAATAACTATCACTGACACTGACACTGACACTTTGGCTTTGATCAAGGCTAGTCTAACCGCATCCACCTCGACGGATGCCCATCTGCATCCTCTTCCATTTCCGGGTAATCCAGGACTATGACAGGGCTTGATCGATGAGGCTGAGAATTGCTCTTAGTGTCCAAGCTGGCCAAAGGTAATTGTAATGCAATTAATGGCTCAAGGACGATGCATCCTGCCTGGCTGAGGCAGGAAATCAAATGGAAATCGGAATGGAGAATGGTGAATGGTGAATGGCGAATGCTGATGGAGAAATAGGTAAATCGAATAAACCTGATATCAACAAGGAGAGAGAGAGTCAGAGCCAAGGTCGAGCACTTGGCCACTCAGCCGGCTGTCCATCCTTTCACGGCCAAGGCCAGGACATTAGCCACAGGACACATATAGGATTTAATTGCACTAGAAAAGGTCCTGCTCCGGAACAAGCAGTGACCCTGGGAAATGGCGTGATTCCATCAGAGCAGCCAGGCAGGCAACTCAATACGGATAAATGTCACGGAATCGGTGCTCCGCTAATTTGATTGATACACTTGTCAGTTGTGCTGGCATCCTGTGGCCTCCGCCTCCACCTCTATCCCACCTCTGCCCCACATCTCCTGCTCATTACATTATTCAGCCGCTATTCAGCTGCTGTTGTCGGCTAGTAA